CAATGTCGAAGACGTCATGCTTGCCTATATGCAATGGCAAATGAGACGACAAATGAGGGCTAAGAACAAGAAATCTCTTAGCTGAATGAAAAGATGACTTAGATGATGACCCAAATAATACAGATGATGCACAAAATTGTTGCTGTGGGCCCCGCACCCACTCTTCCGGCTGACCCTCCGAACCTTCGAGCGCCTCAAGTTTAGAGTACAAGTACCCCAAAGACGACAATGAGTTAATAACGTCATTCACCAGCCTATTATTGCAGAACATTGCTAGTACTCCGAGCCTATGATAGCGCACAGTTGAGGGCATAATCATATAAAGATCAATGCTATTATAGCTGTTTTTAGGAGAAAATTGTGTGTGGTAAGGGTCGCCCGTATTCTGTCAATATGACAAGTTTCATACCCGAAAGGTACTAGTCCCAAAATTCAATACCTTTAATGGTAATAACAATCCCAAGAAGCACTTGGCACAATTCAAATCCACCTGCGAGAATACAGGAGGCAACAACTCCCTGCTCTTCAGGCAATTCATCAGCATTTTAATGGCAGCTACTTTTGAATGGTACGCTGAACTGCTAAATGACTATATGAATACGTTCATAGAGTTAGAAGCATATTCATGAAGAGGTTTGCCAGCGCTATCGAGAAGATAACATCGCTGACTTGCCTAGGATGAAAGAAAAAGGGACGAGTCAGTGATCAAATATATGACTCGCTAGCACAATATGAGCATGAAATGTGAGCAGCTATTAGAAGGTAGAGCATGCCATGTCGTTGTTAATGTGAAACATCGATATAAGATGCAACCATTTTTGTGCATGACTCCATCACCACATTCAGGATCTGCTGGACATGAGTGGTGAAGTTCGACTGCTTTGAAAGAGAAGAGAAGGGCTGTTGTATTCTACGGTTTAAGCATTACAAGATAGCTAGTTAGTCCTAGAAGCTCTTAGTAGAGGCCGTCCCAAAACCTCTTTCTTGATTCCTTACCAGCGAAATGAAGAAGGAGAGATCCCTATCCCAACCAGATAATCAGCTAATAGACCAAAAAGGTCGAACTCAAAACAGGACATCTAGAATTAGGCCTGGATACCACTGACCAAAAGTGTTGCACGAACCCTTTGGATACTGTACTGCGCCAAATTCTTCCGGGTAAGGTCTACCCTTTGGACTGACAGGTGCATATTGAGCATGAAATGTAGAGAGCTGTTAGAAGAAGAGCATGCCATGTAGTTGTTAATGGAAACATCGATGTAAGATGCTGCATGACTACCATCACCACATTTCAGGATCTGCGACAGAGTGTGAAGTTTCAAGAAATTAATTTATCGGCATGATCA